GCATGTCACTGTCGCTGCGTGTGGCAAAGGACTGCACTTTCTTTTGAGGCGCTAAATGATTTGAATATAAATAAGCAACTCTTTCCGCCTGTCAGTTACCTCAAGAATATTTAGTGCCCGCTCCTTTAATGATTGCTCATTACAGATGAATGCGAGTGAACGGATTTAATCAGGGCAATACGGGGTAATGATCATGTGAATTTCTCCTCCTCGGGTCTTGTTCCATCTGTTCCGAGCCATTTGTCCATGTAAAACTGTCAACGTTCCGAGCTGCCGACTGACAGGTGAGGCCAGACAGGCACGTTTTTCTTCTCAGAGCCAGAAATTCTCTGATGCGTCCTTTTCACTAACACAGTTTAAAGACTTAACATGTCCAGGCTGACGACCGTTTTTTCTTTATTTGTTGTGTTGATCATTAAAATATTTATTGCACTCTCACTTTGCACAAGAGAGGACCACTGTCCTTGGCCGCCTTGATGGGACGTGGAGACCCTAGGAGGAAAAGGAAGAATGGGTCCCTCCCTGGAAGTGGTTACCCCAGCACTGAAAGGCATAGCGCGCTCCCCGGGCTGAAGGCGGTTAGGTTCGCAGTCACACCACTGTCTTTCCCTTGTGGTCACGTGTCTCTGGCTCGGCCATCTTTCCATGTTAGAGGGCATGTTGTGGGCAAGTTGGTGGCACTTGTCCTGGAACAGTGTGCCTTCCGCAGCCTCTGTGTGTGCTCAGTGACTGAAAAGACAGGTGACAGAATTACTTAATTTTAAAAATGCAGCTTAAGTCTCATGAGTTTTTTTTGTTGTTGTTACTCCCTGGGGGCCTCACGTCAGAAGACCTGTCTTACATAAGTGAGGTTCTCCATGAAGAAACGGCTCTGCTCCCCAAGCTGGGCCTAACGAGAGTTAGAACAGAAGATCTGAGAACTAGAAGCCTGCCCAGATACTGGAATGTAAGAGACAAGTAGCAAGCTGATGAACAGAACTGAACGCGGTAATGCTGTGGTCTTCAGTGTACGTCCGTGATCTCTGCTGGCTCTCCGTGAGTGCTGACAGCCCACGTTGCTGTTTGAGACTCGGGCTGTGAACTTTTCCTATTTTCACTTTCCCCCTTGATGTTTCTGTTGCTTTCTTGCAATATTGAACTGCCCAGGTCCATGCTGAAGGCACCTCAAGGCTCAGTGTGGAAGGATCATGGCAGCATTGGAGCTACCTGGATTCTCTAGGAACAGACAGACAGAGAACCAGGTCTGCCTCTCAAAGCGACTTGGTAATCCTCATTTGTCTTTTCTCCGTTGTGCAAACCCTTATGTAATCGAGTTTGGTCCTGCCTAACAAACTCGCCATATACCTAAGACCAAATGAATGAACAAATGAACAAATGAAGAGTGCTGAGAGTCAGGAAAAGCCCCCAGACCTGCCCGCAGGCCACTGAGTCTCGTGGGCACACACAGGCAGCTTACCGTCATTTGCAATCAAAAGGTCAGGTGCACTCTGGGAGATTGAGGCAGGTGGATTGCTTGAGCTCAGGAGTTCTAGCCCAGTAAAACTCTGTTTCTAAAACAAGGTGGGTGTTGTGACAAGTGCCTGTAGTCCCAGCTACTTGGGAGGCTGAGGCAAGAGGGTCACTTGAGCCCAAGAGTTTGAGATAGCTGTGAGCTAGGATGCCACAGCACTCTACCCAGGGTGACAGAGTGAGACTCTGTCACAAACAAATAAACAAACAAAGAAAAAAAACAGGCCAGGTGCAATGATAGAAGTTTGACTGAGAAGCCAAGGAAGCAGTGGTGACTGCTCTCTTCGAGTCCCTGGGCCCCTGGATGGGCACCTCACCTCTTTATGCCTCACTTAACTGCATGTCATGGAGCCTGTGGTTTTTATAAATCGAAGTTTTGTGGTGACCCTGCATTGACCAAATCTGTTGGTGCCCTTTTTCCAACAGAACATGCTCATTTTGTCTTGGTATCCCATTTTGGTAAATCTCACAATATTTCACATGTTTTTATTACTTTTACATCTGTTTTGGAGACCTATGATCAGTGATCTTTGATATTACTATCGTAGTTATTTGGGACAACAAACTTAATTGACAAATGTTACGTGTGTTCCGACAGCTCCACTGACCAGCCACTCCCCATCTCTCTCTCTTTCCTTGGGCCTCCCTATTGGTTGAAACACAACAATGTTGGAATTAGGCCAATTAATTAGGCCTTGTGATGGCCTCTAAGTGTTCAAGAAAAAGGAAAAGTCACAAGCCTTGCACTTGATATCAAAAGTTAGAAATGATTCATCTTAATGAGGGTGTGTCGAAAGCTGAGACTGGGACTCTTTCAATAGTTAGCCATGTTCTGATCGCAAAAGAAAAGGCCTTGAAGGAAATTAAAATTAAAAGTGCTATGCTAGTGAATACAAGATTGCTGAAAAAAGAAATGCAAAATAGCCTTACGCAGATGTGGAGAAAGTTTTGGTCTACGCAGTGGTCTGCACAGGAGATCAAACCAGACAGCACATTCCCTGAAGTCAAGGCCTAGGCCAGAGCAAGACTCAAACTGTCTTCAGTCCTATGAAGACTGAGAGCCTGAAGAGGTGACAGAATTACTACAATCTCATGATATAACATGGATGGAGGAGGAATTGCTTCTTGTGGATAAGCGAAGAAAGTGGTTTCATGGGATGGAATCTACTCCTGGTAAAAATATCATGATACTATTGAAAGGACAACAAAGGGTTTAGGATATTATGTAAACTTAACTGAGCAGCAGCGTTTTGGAAAACTGACTTCAATTTTGAAAGTTCTACCATGGGAAAAATGCTACCAAACCGCATCACACAGTGTGGAGAAATCTTTCATGAAAGGAGCAGTCTACTAGTGCGGCAAACTTTACCGTTACCCAACTTTAAGAAACTGCCGCAGTCACCCCAACCTTTAGCAGCCACCAGCCTCATCAGTCAGCAGCCATCAGCCTCACGGAGACCCTTCCCCAACAAAAAGTTTATGGCTCACTGAAGCTCAGGTGGTTGTTAGCATTTCTTAGCAAGGAAGTGTCCTTTAATTGAGGAATATGCAATTCTTTTTGGACATAACGGTATCGCACATTTACTGGTTCCTACTGCGGTGTAAATATCACTTTCGTACGCGGTGGGGAACCAAACATTTGCTGCGTCTAACTTCACTGTGATAATCATTTCATGGGGGTGACCTGGAAGGGACCTACAACATCTCCAAGCCAGGCTTTATTTTACAGGTGTAGGGCCTCCTGTTTTTGCTTTTCTAGTCTGAAGAATATAAAATTGAGAAGTTTTTTTTTTTTTTTTTCATACTGTCTTCTTTCTATCAGAGGGAGAAGAACAAAGCTCATTCTAATTGTCAGGCGTGCGCTCAGAAACCACCTCCCTCTGTGCCTCCCTGAAGACCCTCCTCCCTGCTCCCTTCATCTCACTGCTGTTGTGATGGGAAGAACCGCACAGAGTTCTAACGTGGCACGGGCACCACATCCTCAGAGAGGAAAGAAAAAGTAACCAAGAGCCCTGCTCTCTCCACTGATTTCTCCCATATGGTTTCTTTCCAGTTTTCTATAAATAAGAGTCACCCAAGTGTCCTTTATGTTATACTTTGTTTAGATAAAGTGTAACCCACGTCCATAAGAACACACGCCTCCTCGCCGGCTGGCTGGCACTTTTCCATCAATTGCTAAGTTGGAAAAGCTTCAGTCTCCCCAGTGTTTAATAAATTGTCCCCCACTTTGTGCTCTGTTGGTGAATTGTCTCCAGAACTGACTTAGTTTTGTGTCACATTATACATGTGACTGGCTCTGCCTTCAGCCTTGGAAAGCTTCAAGGACAGAAACCACATTTTATCTACCTTGGTTTCTCTCACTATTTAGGAGAATGATTCAACCACTCGGGACATTTGGCAATGTCTGGGAACATTTTTAGCGTCACAGCCTGGGAAGCAGGTGTGTTATGGCACCGAGTGGGTAGAGACCAGGAATGTGGGAGGCATCCTACATTTCCCACGTGGCACAGAGCAGCCACCCAACAAAGAATTATTCAGCCTCCAAAGTCAATGGCATTGAGGTTAAGAAAACTCAGTTTAGTGCAATACTCGTGTTTATAAATACTAATTAAATTTTCTCTCAAATAATCTGTTTCTACAGCAAAAAATTAATCATGTACTACTTTATCCTTACTTTTCCCCTAGAGCAAGCTTGTATCATAGGATTCTCATAGTTCTGGAAAAATAACCGGGGAAACTCCCAATCCTTGAATTACCCTGTAGATAAGGAATGGGATGGAGGGTGCTGAGTGCATCTCTTCCTGTCGTGCACCTGACCTCCCGGTAACCTCTGACCAAGTGTATGCACAGACACACACGGGGCACTTGGCCTTTGTATTTCATGACACTTTTCCTTTTATCACGTACATTTTGTCCTATAACTATTTTAAATTTCAGGAGGTTCTGAATTGCTCAGCCATTACATGTCAGAGAACTACCACTTAGGAGTCTTACACTGCTGGTTGAACTACACCAGTACAGGTCAAGCGATAATTGTTTCAAAAAATTATTTTTTAAGAGAATGAATCAACATTCAATAGAATCACATCTATAGGAGAAATCGATTTTTCATGGTAGAGATGAAGGGTTGAGTAGCTTTGGCTCATTACCGAGAGGCGAGGCTTTCCCCTTGCCACCTGAGAGTGTCTGATTCCACGATTTGCTTATGACAGCTTTGAAATTGCTGTCTACCTGGATAATGCAAAAGCTATCCCTGAGAAGCAAATTGTTGCTAGAGTATCTCTTTCTTATTTGACTGTCTCAGAACTAACCGAGAAGGCGGTGATATAAACCAATGTGCACCTTCCTGCCCCATCGCCTCATGGTTAAGTCTGGTCAACAGAGAAGTCCTGCTCTAATTGAAGGAACGTGTGAATACGCCAACACTCAAACCATCTAAACATCTGGAACTGCCTCATTTTTTAAAGTAATTGATTTTTTTCCTTCTTAAAATGCTAAACTCTCCCCTCATTATCTCTTTTCTTTTTATGCTGACGCAATTCCTTTTTGGGATTCTTGCAAATAGCATCATAGTGGTGGTGAATGGCATTGGGCTGGTCAAGTGGAAGAGAATGCCTCCCCTGGATCTCCTTCTTTCTTGCCTGGCGCTTTCTAGAATTTGTCTGCAGGGAACCATCTTGCATTTTTGTCTAACTGTACTATCTTTGACAGAGGTTTTTAGGTTTTCTCGGAATTTTGTGGCCTACCTGTTTGTAAGTGAATCAGAACTCTGGCTTGCCACGTGGCTGGGTGTTTTCTACTGTGCCAAGATCGCCAACATTTCTCATCCTTTCTTCTTCTGGTTGAAGATGAGGATAACCAAGCTGGTGCCATGGCTGATCCTGGGCTCTCTGTTCTATGCATCTGCCACTTGTGTTTTGCACAGCAACTACCAATGGATTATTGCCCAAAACTTCTCAGTGACCTTTGTCTTCAAAAATACAGTAGCTCAAATGAAAGAAAAATTCGCTTTACAGTTTTTCTTGCTGATTGTTGAGGTCTCCATACCGTTATTTATCTTCCTTGCTGCGGGTCTCCTGCTGGTTTTTTCCCTGGGGAGACACACCCAGCAGATGAGAAACAGGGCTGCAGGCGCCGGGGACACTCACAGGTATGCCAGCGTCCAGGCGATGCTGTCCATCCTGTCCTTCCTCATCCTCTACTTCTCCCACTTCATAGCGATTGCCTTGCTCACTCTTGAAAATTTTCAGTATGGAAGCTTAAATATTCTGTTCTTCATCCTGATGTTTGGTACCTACCCCTCTGCACACTCTATCATCTTAATTTTAGGAAATCCTAAACTAAAACAAAATGCAAAGAAGTTCTTCCTTCACAGTAAGTGCTGTCAGTGAGAGAGCTCTGATGGGTTCAGTGACTCACCAGAGCCTGCTCCGCCTCCCCCAGCCACGCTCAGCAGCCTGTTTATAAGTATACAAAACACCGTCTTAAGACTTTGTACCCAGCCTGAGGCATTTTTATGGATTTGCTGCTTTTTCAAAGAGGTGAATTGATTTCTCAAGCACACTGTGTGGCAGGGGATTACGTCAGTGTCGACATCCTGATTGTGATATTGCATTATCATGTTGTACATTGTTACCCACTGGGAAAAAGTGAGTAAATGGTACCTGAGTCTTTCTGTACTATTTCTTACAAATATATGCAAATCTACAATTATTTCAAAATATAAAGTTTAAAGAAAAAAATAAAAAAGCACATTCTTGAACTTAGAATGACAGAAGGATGCAGGAATGCCGCCGGGTTCCTGTGTGCTGGTCTCAGATGCTCTACCCTGACCTGCCTGCCTGTCTCTTCTCTGCCTAGATATCATTTCTGTTCTCTTGGTTGGAGTCACAGACCATGGAGCCAGTCTTCCTCTGATCAGAAAGGCAGCTGAGGACAGGCTCTGCCCTTATTAACACGTTTTCTTCCTCCGTCCTTCAGAGAGCCTCGATGCCACCGTGACATGTGCCACCAACTGAAGAAAGAGGGACAGATGGAAGGGGAGGAGGAGGAGGAGGTGTCAGCATGGCCATGTAGGTCAAGGGCTGAGAGTCTCTTCTCCTAACTGCATACCATGAACAGACAATAGCTTTCAAAGACGCTTATTTCATTTTGTATTTGTGTGCTTGACTTCGGGGCCCTTTCAGCTGAAGGTGGCAGTTGGAACTCCTCCCACTCGGCGAGTCTTCCCAATGAAGCAACATCAGTAGGTGGGTGGGGTTGGGGGTGTCACCATCTGCTTGAAGTCTCCAATCTACTTTCTGTTTGGTTGATGATTTTGAATACTAAGACACAAGTGTATAATTCTAAAACAACTTCAGAACACTTTTGCTTCCAGGCAAGTAGATTAAGTAAAAGAAGTTCTTAAGTTCAGCTATGACTTGTGGTGCGGCTGTGATGACGCAAAGTGTGCTTAGATTTAGGTTTGCCCACCTCCATGAATATGGGCTCAAATGTTGGTTTTCTAACCTAAGACGTGCAGGCTCGGTTGTAATAAACAAATGGAAGACTTTGCTTCGAGCTGTATTTATCTTCTGGGGCATGGGAATTAAGCTCTGTGGGCACTCCTCAGCTTCCCACAGGGTTCATACTTCATTCCCCAACGAGTCAAATAAAAACTTCCATCTTCCCACCATTGCATTTCCCACATCCCACTTGGTGGGAGGGTTTGCAGCTAATTGTGTGCTCAGGCAACCAGCTCTGGGAAGAGCAGTTATAATTGGATATAATATTTAGATATAATTATTGCTTCTGCCTGGAGAAGGGGCAATGAAGAATCACTTTTACTTATCTTACATCGCAAGTTCAGAGAATACCTGCTTTTCAAATCCATGATGTGTGTCCCTGCAGGTGGACAGGGACAGAGTGGGAGAAATTCAAACATTCAGGGAGAAATTTCTCGTTATATGATTCTGCTGAGTTTTTTCTTTCTCATCCTATTTCATGCAATGCCTGTTTCAATAGTGCTAGTTAACCAGATGAATAGTACGGTGTGACTAAGTTTGTACATATCGCCAAAAGTTGTAAAAGAAGAAAAGAATAGTAAACTATTCTAAAAAAACATTTTCACGCTCTACTCTCCTAGAAATATATTTTTTTCCAGAAATGTTGACTAGTTATTGTGTTGATGAGTATTGCGTAGGACACTAATTGCTCAATGTTAGAAGCAAAACAGACCAAGACTTTGTCTCTCTGGAGCTGCCCTTATCTGCGCTTGCCACCCTCGCCAAGTTGTTTTTGTCCTCATCTGACAATGGTTTGACCTCTACCGAGGGCAGCATCCTCCGTGCCTCACCCCTGGACCTTAGGGACGAAGCGGGTAGGCATTACGGCCCCTGGGAGCCTTGGCTGTGGGATCGCGGACCTAGGGGGCAGGATGTGTATACTCAAATTTTAGGCTTAAAGATATAGTTTTCATAACTTTTGTCCACACAGAGCTGCATTTCTTTGGGTGAGAAAAGAGACAGTCAGAAATATCTGAGAGAGAAAGAAACCAGCCAGATCATCCAAATCGACTTTGGCAACCAGTGGAATGGCAGATGTCACAGACAGATGGCCCTGATGTTGGAGAAAAGTCCAAATGACCAGGGCAGGGAGACCACATGTGTCAAAGAGTCCAGCTAGGGAAGAGTTTGACGTTAGGTTGGGCCTTGTACTCAAATAAACCTAAGAGCAATGATATAGTCCCTTTTGCCGTTTGCTACCAAATAATTGTAGACTCTCATTAGAAACCTTTATGCCAGAGAAAATGGTCGGTACTAGGAACATCTCCTCAGTTGGAAATATTAAGCTTTTGGGTGAAGCAACATAAATTTAAGATCGTCTGTGGGCACTTGTTTCACGGCTATCTTTCTATACGGAACTAGCATTTCTGTTTCTCTCCTTGATACATTACCCTGTGCTTTGGCAGGATTAAAGAATGTTTTAATATAAGATATAAACATTTGAATTCACAACTGTGACATCTGGATCTGCTTAATCTTTTTATGGAGAATCAGGAGTTGGCAATTTTATCTCAACATTTAAAACATATCAATGATGTGTGGGGTTCCTTTTATTATTTTTGGTGTTTTATTTGTTTCTGTTTTAAATCTCTCTCTGCAAGTTCACCAAAATAAAAGCCAATCAAGTATCTACTTAAATCTCTGAAGGCATATCCACATTTGAAATAACTGAAGATTTGTTTTGTTTAAACTTCAATATTCCTGACCAAAAAGACACATTGTAACTCCTGTTTCTATTTTTGAGGTTGGAATATGTGTCCTTAAGAGGGACCATTAGCTTCCAATTAACTAAATTCTCTTCTTCCTATGGGTTTGTGTAAGTAATATATTTTGCTGTGTAAAATGTGCACTTTTGCCTAAAATTTGAGGGAAAAATAAGGATGCACGTTATACGTGGGTGGTGTGATTGGCTACTGGCAAGTAAAACTTCTTGTACCTCGTATCACTCTTGGGGCTTTGTCATTATTTGTTACATAAAATTTCCTGGACCCTAATAAGTTAAAAATTAATGTTAAAATTACTTTATAATACAAAAGAATAGGTACCTAAATGTAAACAAATAAAAATATAAATTAAAAAATTGAAACAAAACATTTTTTTTCCTAAAAGTTTGGGCCAAAAGTGTTGGTGTGCAAAATGCAGTACTAGAACAAACAGCACACGTATGTGTGGATTAGGGAGAATTTGAATTTGGGAGCACCGGGGGACAAAGCCTCTAAAGCTAGACAGGACCTGGCACTTGGTGGGCACCCCTTGAATGATCCGACTTCCAGAATTGCTAGGGAGACCGCAGATCCCTCTGAACATGGGCAGGTTAAATAGGTGAAGAAAAGAAATAAGTGGCTGACAATAGGCTAAGATCTCATGTTCCTGAATATATGGAAGGGCCTCTGGCCACGAGCCCGTTCATTTGGACAGCAGATGTTGCACTTGTGATTGTAAATTAGAAAGTCTTTCTTTGCCTTGAAACCTAGTCCACTGGCTTTTGGAGACACTGACCAGATACGGTATTTGGTGAGGAAGCTCAATTTCATGATTAACATTCTCCAAAATATTCACCACTGCTTATATGCTAAAAGACTTGAAATTCTTGAACTAAGGTCTTATGCGTTAGTATAAGGCATGATGTTCTTAGCTGCACGCACAGATGATGGATCTGGAGACGGGGCTCTATGAGGAGAGAGAGGGACCCTTGAGCGTGGCATTCTACGTTGGGAGGCTAAGTAGTTTTTGGAGTACTGTAGATTCCAAATCAGCCTAAAAGTCGGTTGCTACTAGTTGGTCACTAGCCCACGGGCAAGCCAGACTCCTGTGCTCACAAGCCTTGTCTCCTCAGCAACCCTCTCTAGGACACTTGCTTATTTTGGTGATTTAGGCAGCTTTTGTGCAACTCAGTGAGCGCTACAGTGCACTGAGCCTCAGTTTCTCCATCTGTAAATGGGAGTTAAGAATGATACAACCACAGGCTTGGCAAAGTTTTTTCATAATTGTGACCACAAATGAATGTACTCTCCAGCCACATTTATTGTACCCTGTGACTATAATAAGTATGGCCACAAGTAATCTCCAGCAGTTCCTCTGGAGGAGAGAACAGTGCACAGGTCAGAACCTGCTGAACCACAGAGGGTCGTAACTAAGAGGCTGATTTGGAGTCTAGATCTGCCACTGATAAGTGACTCCGTGAGGCTGAGCCTCACAGTCCTCCACTTCTCATCTCTGAAACAGGGAGAGAAATGGTTCTGAGCTGGCACCGCTGTTGTTTTCAGTTATGTGAACCACATGAAACTGCAGGATCTCGGTGACCTTTGATCTGCAGCAATGACAGTTTTGTATGATTGCCCCTAATAAGCAATCAACCAGTCAGTCACATATTTTGGAGAGCGGCTAACTCTAGGAAAAGGAAACAGTGTGTGTCAAAGTGTCTGGTGAAGAAGAGAAGAAAAAGCATTTGCAAGAACTGTGAAAAAGTAGAAAGGGGAGAGGAGAGAGGGAGACTAAAGCAGGTAGCGGGCTGCTTTGCTCAATAATAAATGATGCCGACTTGGCAGCACCTCACGGACCCAGGTTCATCCTCATGTCAGGTGGCGGCCAGCAGGGTGTGCAGCAGCCCTGAGGAGCAGCTCCCATCTCGGACAGAAGGTCCTTGAGGCTTGGGGAGAGAGTGAAGATGGGGGCAGGGTGGTGAGGGACCGCAGGCCTGAGCTTTGCTGTCTCCTCGGACACATTGGGTGGCCAAGCACCATGTAAAGAGGGGGAGAGATACGGGACCCCCTAGACAAGGCAGCAAGGATTTCGGGATGAAATAACCCTGCCATGTGGGCTACAAAAAGATGCAATCACCGTGGAAA